TGTGCAAAAAAGTGGTTCACTTTACAGACGTTTTTTTATTTCGCGGAAAAAAATGTTGTACTATTGGGTTTCAAAGTATTTCTTATATAAACCGAGTTTTAATTATATTGATCTTATTTTAGTCTTCAGATTTATTGATCTTACTAATTTATCAAGTAGCGTTTTGGGCTTCTTCAATTTTTAAAAATCGTTCATACATAAAGCCTATAAACTCATTTTAGAAACCTTCATAAAATTTGTAAGTCTAAATTTAATTGAAAGATATACACTTCAGACAAAAAATATTTTCTTATGTTTAAGTAAAATAATATTTATAATCAAAAACCAAATCCGACAACTAAATTCTTACATACACAAAGAGGGTATTGCATTATACACTTATGATCGCATCAACTTTACATCTATTCTATTAAAAACTAACACCATGTATGAAAAAAAATCCCATTAATATTATACACATGTATAGAAATATACTATATTCAAATAAATAAATTTTTGAATAAATAAATATCAAAACTGATAATCTTATAATGTTATAAATTTTTATCATATCAAAAATGTTATCCGAGTATAGAGTCCTAGTTTTATCTACTGATAAAAAGTTACTGGACCATTTCATTAATAAGTTTAATACATTAAAATGATATTTATATATTAGATCATTTGAATAAAATATACTATCACTCATAAAAAAATATTCTACTATATCACTTTTTATTTTTGAATATTTCCTATTTTACCTTAACAAAATCTTAAAAAATATTTTGCTTATTAATTTTAAATAATTCGTTAAATTCGCATTTAATGGTAAATATTAGAAATAAATACAATTTAAATTTTAAATAAAAATTGGTATTTTTATAATATATTATATTAATTTATAAAGTTAAAATATACAAATTATAAAAATAAAACTTAAGTTTAATAAAATAAAATTATAAAAGTACAAAATTATATTGTTTAATTATATTATTTTTAGTGTACAGTTAATTTTTTATGTTTGTAAATTAAATAAAAGAATTTTGGCTTATTTAAAATAAAAACAATTATGAAAATACATTTCAAAGAAAAATCTTATACATTTTAATTAGAAAACATAAAAAAAACTTAATGAAATGGGATAAATAGATATTATATTAATTTTATATAAAAATATTAACGTATAAATAAATTATATAATAATATATAATGTTTCGTAAAAATATAAAAAAAAAATTATATATTAATAATATCGAACAAAAAATATTAAGTTACATAATATAAAACACAAAATTCTAACATTTTATTTTATCAGATTGTCATAAAATTAAATATAATTATAGAAACAAAAATATATCCGCGCAGACGCGCGGGTTAAAATCTAGTTTATAATATTAAAACAGAAATATGTTTTATAATTGTTTGGATACATGAATAGCAGTATAAAAAATATAGTGTTGTTTGAAAATATAGATAGCAGTATAAAAAAGAGTATTTGTTTTATTTAGTAATTTCATTAATATAATACTTTATTCAAAAGGATAACTAATATATATACTACTAAAAGAGAATAATCATAAAAACCTTACTTATAAAAGGTTGTTGAACTTACTCATTAATATATTTTTTGTTTTATTTTTTGTAACCCTACATCAATATTATTAATACCCTTATTAACAACAATTAAAAAATATTATTTTCTCATAATCATATTTATATCTACTACTAATAATTCAATACCTAGATAGATTCTTTTATATTGTTCAAAAAATTGACTAACCATACATTTATTTTGATATAAAAATTTTATCTCTTGATTTAATTTCTCTTTCAGTATTCATGATGACCTATAACTCATGTTTATTTGTACATTATTATTACTAATATAAACCAACTACATATCAATAATAAGAACCTCATAAATCTATACTATTAAATTATCCAAAAATCTACCAAGTACAGTTTCATCAACTTAACAAATATAACTTATAAAATGCATATAAAATAGAATGAGAGAGAGTATGCATGAACATTTGGTCTTCGTGTAAATAGATTGGTTATTTTCAAGTATTGATTTTTCAGGTCTTAGATATTTGACTTTGGAAAAATTTCGGCTCAGGCTTGTTACTTTCAAATAACTATAAAATACATGTAATCGATTTTAGAATATGTATAATTTAAACTGGTCCGGATCGGTTCAGGTATTTAGGATTCAAAAAAGATTTGAAGTATCTGAAAATCCAAAAGTATCATAAACACACAAAAGGTGCTCAAAACACGAAAAAATACCCAACCCAAAAACTATTGGAAACATAATCAAATACCCAAAAAAACTAAATTTTTATCTAAAATCTGACATGAAAAACCTTAAAATAGCCAAAATTGACTATTCAAAATATATTTTATAAAAATGTAAATTTGATCCAAAATTAAAAATTATAACCTAAAACCCGAACTTAAAGCTTAAAAATATATTTAATACAGAAAACATATATAAAATGATCAAATATACACTAAACATTTTGGGTACTTGGGTACCCGACCGAGTTTTAGAGAGAACTTAGATTCGAACAGAGACATCCAGGTCCAGAAAAATACCCAATATATACTTTGTCATGTACCCAAACTGAACCAAACATATATATTTTCGAGTCTGTTTGATTCATGTTTTTTAGTCCGAATAAAATGCTATGGTCTAAGAGAGAGTTACATAAGAGTGTACATACAATATCTCAAATAAACTAGTTCATAAATTATATAATTTTATTTTTAAAAACCTTTCTTTCCTTCGATATAATAAGACTATGTTAACTACTAATGTACAAAAATTTTAAAATTTGTTTATAATTTAAAAATAATCCGCGTATGGATCTAAATCTAGTCTATCTTATTAAAATTGAAGTACCTTTGAAAATTGTTTGGAAACATGGATAGCCGTATAAAAAAGAGGTGTGGTTTTGTTTGGAAACATAGATAACATTATAAAACAGAGTATAATATCATTTTAATAATTTCATTAACATAAGGTTTTAATTTAAAAATAAATAATATCTATACTATTAAAAGATAATCATCACTTTAAGTCTTGATATAATTTCTCTTTCAATATTCACGATGACCTCTAACTCATGTTAATTTCTACGTTATTATTATTAATATAAGACAGCTACATATCTGTAATTAAAAAATTTATAGTATAAGTTCTAAAAATCCCATAAACCTGTACTATTAAATTACCCAAAAATATACCAAGTAAAATCTCATCATCCCAACAAATATAACTCGTAAAAATGCACAAAAAAATATAATGAGAGAAAGAGAGTGTACATGGGCATTCGGGTCTTCGTGTCATACATATAATTAATTTTTGGATACATATAATTTATATGGATCCTTCATTCTCAGTAGGCTACCGTCCCCGGAATCAATGCCTAAGAGTTTCCTCTGAAAAATATTTGAAGCATCTGAAAATCCAAAATGTACTTGAAAACCCAAAAAGTACCCAAAACACGAAAAAATACTTGAAACAAAAACTACTTGGAACATATTCAAATACCAAAAAGACCCAAAATTTTATACGAAATCTAACATGAAAAACCTAAAAATACCCAAAATTTTATGTGACTAAAAATAAATTTTAGAAAAATGAATAATTTATCTCAAAATTCAAAACTAAACTAACATCCAAACTTAAAATTAAAAATATATTTAATACCAAAAAATATCTAAAATAACCAAATATAACTAATATATACTAAACATTTTGGGTACTTTGGGTGCCCGTTCAGGTCTCAGATATGACATAGCATTGAATAGAGACCCACATGTTCAGAAAAATACTTATTATATACTTTGCCATGAACCCAAACCAAATCAAACATATATTTTTGAGTCGGTTACAATTAAATTTTTTGACTCTAAATAAAATTCCGAGGTCTAAGAGAGAGTTACAAAAGAGTATACATTCAAAATCTCAAATAAACTAATTCATAAATTATATAATTTTTTTTAAAAAACATTCTTTATCTTCGTTATAGTCAACTTTTTAAACAAATAATAGAAACAATCTCAAAATTTGTATATAATTTTTTAACAAAATCCACGCTTCAAAAGCGCGGATCAAAATATAGTATCTTTTTGAATGTGTGAACACCTAGATCTACTCATAGGTTACAAAAACAAATATGATTGCATGATAATTGAGACTTGTATGCTGGTGTTTGCATTGCATGTTGTTTAATCATGTGTGGATAGTGTATATGATATAGGTTAAGGCCTAAGGCATATGTGTTCCGGTGGAACGTGATTTAGAGTTCTTGTGTGTTGCCTCGTTTCTTGCTGGGTCATGCTAGGACCGAGTGAGGAGCCATGATTCATTGCTGGAGCAGGCAGACGGCATGTATGTGTATTAAATTGTGAATTTCTGGTGGATCACGTGTGAACTAATTTAGGTAGCATGATTGCATGAAATCGTTAAAGTCAAGGGCACTGATTCATCCGGCTTGTATGTGTATTAATTTGTAAATTTTTGGTAGATCATGCATGAACCGATTTATGGTAGATCACGCATCAAACGATTTAGGTAGTATGATTGCGTGAAAGAGTTAAAATCAAGGGTACCAATTTAGGTGGTGTGATTTCATATTGGCGTCGTCAGGGTTTATCCGCAGTTCTTATTGTATGCTCTTGCTTTATTGGATGTTATATGTAGAACTTTTGTTATGTTGTGTGGTGAATGGTATGTGATGATTTCGGGAATCCTATAACTTCCCTCGTTGAGCTTTTGTTGAAATGCTCACCCCTCTTTCTTCCCTTTCCTTTGCAGGTTTGATTCATGTTGGTCTGTTAATTTTAGCATATAAAAATGTTCAATTTATACCAAACACACATAACTTTACAAAGAACAGCCCATATCAAAATATAGAAATCTTAAGAGAAATGTTATTGTCAGAATTTAATGATAACCAAAAATTGTACGATATTTCAATCACCTAATAAATCTTTAACTAAATATTGTTATTTCATACAATCGAGATTAAGCTTGGAAAATAAGATACCGCTATTGTTAGATAATGAACTTCGTAATTAGGCGAGAAACATATATCATAAGATCTTGATTCAGGATCGTAAACCATAAGATTGGGATTTTTCGAACGTGCATCATATAGAACTAATGATTGTTTCTTCTTATTTTTGTTCTTCTTATTCTTCAAAACCATAACAGGAATAGCACAACAAGTGCCTTCCTCATATAGAATATAAGGTTTCTCTTCAGCAAATAAATGAGAATCAGTTTGTAGATTTAACAAATATTTTCTCTCCCATGTTTTGTCTGACTTATTTAATGACCATATTTCTTGTATTGGCCACGTCTTCTGTGATATGCATAGCTGGTTATCCAGTGTAAACATTAATATAAACTGAGAATCCTCTTGGAAGAGCGGAGTTTTTGAAATGATGTGAAAAGTTTCTGTGTGAAGATCGAAAGATAATATTCTCCTCTCATCCGTGAACCAATGAAGTAATCCGTTTAAGTAAACCGGAATTTGCTCGTCAAGAATACGACTAGAAGCAGCAGTCACATACCTCCAACTGTTGGTGCTAAAATCAAAAACTTCGCAGGTTGTTGCATTTTCTAGCCCAAAATCAGACGAATTATACAACCAAACCAGCTTGTATGTGTCTGTAAATTCATCTTTTCCAAATCCAAGCTTCCAAAATATGCCAGAGTCGTTTTGGTATTCTGGTTTAAACGTGTCAAGAAGAACTGTTTGATATCTTGCTTGAGGAACACTTCGAAACCATCTAGTAATCGGATTAACCACATAAATACCATTCAAGTAAGTGTAATAGCATATCATACCATCACAACTCCATGATACGACATAGTAGTAAACCAAAGGAACGGGGTAATAATCCAAGTGAATTGGATTAGGTGAAGGGCAAAGATTAGGAAGTCTGATTAAATCAGAAGAATCCATAGTGAAAGTCCTCGTCACGTTTTCTTGACAACCAAAAAGGTCACTAAATTCAAGAGGACTAATTAGAAGGATGTCTGGATCTTGTGATTGTCGACATACCAGATGCTTTTTCTTAAAATGTCCAGATTCGATTGTCGATTTCCACTGCACTGAAACAGATTTAAATCTTAGCAAGGATTTCACCGGAAGTTTCTCTAGAATATGTCCAACTAGGTCATGGGGTAATTCCATATTGTGAATAGTGTTTGTATATGGTTTCCGGTTCTGTTTTTATTGGTTTCTGTTTAATTGTTGTGCTTTGTTTATGATATTAAACTTTGTCTATAAGCAAACACTTATATATATAGAAGCCTTAAAGTTATAATATATTCACTCATTGAAATAGTTAGAAAGATAATATCTGTAGCTTTTGTTTACTTTTAAAAATTGATTTCCATAGGTTTTAGATTTGTCAATTATTCAATACTTTTTATCATATGCAATAAATTTCTTATAGTTATAAAAGACATGTCAGTACAAAAAGATTATATATTTGTGTGTATTAAATCTAAATATATAAGTAGTTTTAAACTATTTTAAGAGAATGAATAATATAAACTTTAGAGTTACAAGCTGAAGTGGCACAACAGTATTGTTTGAGAACAGGACAGATGTATATTAAGTTGATAAGATTTGGATATATGTTAATATAATGTGCCATAAGTAAGAGAGATATCATTTTTATTTTAATCTCTAGAGATATAAAAAATCTGGATTAATATCTATTTATAGTTATAACTGATAAATTTGCAAGTGAAACCTAGATATGAAATCAACCAGTACATATGATTTTCTTCAATCAAAGCATAATATTTTTTTATATCCTTATCTTTCTACTATTCTAGTCACATATATTAACAAAATATATAATAGTTTATAAATATTGTGAAAATAGGACAGATGTATATTAAGTTGATAAGATTTGGATATATGTTAATATAATGTGCCATAAGTAAGAGAGATATCATTTTAATTTAAATCTCTAGAGATATAAAAAATCTGGATTAATATCTATTTATAGTTATAACTGATAAATTTGCAAGTGAAACCTAGATATGAAATCAACCAGTACATATGATTTTCTTCAATCAAAGCATAATATTATTTTTATATCCTTATCTTTCTACTATTCTAGTCACATATATTAACAAAATATATAATAGTTTATAAATATTGTGAAAATAGGACAGATGTATATTAAGTTGATAAGATTTGGATATATGTTAATATAATGTGCCATAATTAAGAGAGATATCATTTTAATTTAAATCTCTAGAGATATAAAAAATCTGGATTAATATCTATTTATAGTTATAACTGATAAATCTGCAAGTGAAACCTAGATATGAAATCAACCAGTACATATGATTTTCTTCAATCAAAGCATAATATTTTTTTCATATCCTTATCTTTCTCTTATTCTAGTCACATACATTAACAGAATATTTAATAGTTTATAAATCAAACCATTGACATATTTCCAACCTACCTAATTTTTTTTTAACAACAATCTCTAATAAAAAAATATTAACTTTGGTAAACACCAATACTATAACCCAAAAAAAATTAATATGAAAAATAGATAAAACAAATGGAATTTTTCTAAAATATAACTTTTTATCAAAAAAATAGACCTCAGAAACTAAAATGACCAAAATAGCATTTTTTATTTTGAAAATTTTAAGTTTTTTTTTAAAAAAAAAATTTGAAATCTTATTCTCAAAACCTCACTCCTCAACTCTAAACAAAAAGGTATATGATTAGTTAATCTAAAGGGTATAAATGCATATTTACTTATTTTTGATAAAATATTTAAGTTTGTTTTGGTCATTTTTATCTTTACAGTCTAAATTTGTGACAAACACTTTTTTAGGTTTGTCCTAGGGAATTTCTCTAAAACAAATTCACAAAACAATCTGAAAACTTGTTCATGATTCTATTGATTTCTTACATCTTATCAACAAAGACCAACACAAATAAAAATAATTGAACTTCAAGATTATTTCCAATTCTCCATAGAAAAGAAAGGAAAGCAATGATGGATAGTCACATCCAAATTAATAGATGTGGGAGTTGAAACTCGCACTTTAAGACCCGATCTTGGCCTTTAAGACCCCACAAGACCGGTAGACTTACTTTAACACATTTTTCTTGGTTGATTCATTTTAAGTCTATATTTTCTAAGTCATTTTATGAGGTTCATAGAATAATCGAACAATATGTATAGATAATAAGGTAAATCGACATTGTACTAAAAATAAGTAAAGAAATCCAATATAATATTCAGTTTTCTCTATAAACTATCATAAGTTTAATCCTACATTGACCTACCCACACACCACACAGCCTGTCGCTGACAGAGTCTTCACGACTCCTTGGCTTTACCACGATCAGCCTCAGATCATGAAACCAGAAACAACTCGCATCAGTCATAATCCGATACCCTAATGATTTGATTCCAACAATGCATGGTTTTATTCACATAAAAAATATAACCTCTAAAAATCATATCATACCATACAACCATACTTAGAATATATCCAATTATAACCGCACGTCCTTAGAATATCATCAAACTTCCCATACTACAACCTTGCCATCCGGTTAGGATCTAGGACCGAATGGCCTAACCGTACGTCTGGCTCTTTAGCCTTGAACTAGTTTGAAATAGATTGGACAAAGTCTTGATCCTTTGGCACAATTTGGAAACTCGCACCTCTTGGGTCATTCCCAATCGTTTAGTCCAACCGACTATTCCTTAGGTTAGGCAAACCATACGCAGATTCAGCCATGGCCTTGGATCGCGGCTTAAGTGCATTCTGTGCAGTTATGGATCGTGAATCAATGCCTCTATCTTAGGTCATGAATCGATGCAACTGTTCAGAGAAAGGGTTCAACTGGTCCTACCATAACCGGCTGATCCCAATCAATCCTAATATGGATCAGTCTAACTTGATGTAACCGGCTTGAGTCTAGAGTCGCAACCCTTCAACCCAACCATCACACCTTTTTGTGTATATCCAGACAATAGAAGAAGAAGATGATCAAATACAAAAAGAAAAAATAGGATGTAACCAATTGGCCATGGTCTAGAACTCGGTCAGCACAACCGCCGGTTCTAACCAAAGGATTTCCGGTTACTCCACTTACCTTGGTTGTGTGTTCTTGAGGTTTAAGATTGTGATGGTGATAAAGGTTGTAGTCTTGTTTGAGACTTTTGTTTCTTTGTGTTCTGTCCCAGCCGAGTATGGCCGTGTTTTTTTGTTATCTTGGGTCTGGCCACTTGTGGCTTTGAATCCTTGTCGCCTTTGCGACTTCTAAATGAAGTTTATGTTGCGTTTAAGGAGTATGGTAGACTTTTTTCCGAGAGTGGATGGAAGGATATGAGTTGTCATCTTGTTGTCTAACTCTGGGTGAACTTCCATACTCTTGGTCTGTTTTGAGAGTTTTCCGCAGCGTGCAAACTTGCGGGATTTCTGAAGACGTTTGAATATTGGCCAAGAGACAAATTTTGGGATCTCGTATCAGGGTGTTTGATACTATGCCTAGAGATGTTAAATACCAGTGTGCTGGATTTAGAGTAAGACATAGGTCTAATCACAGTTTTAAGGGGGTGTGATGACTACTTCGGCTTACGTTTCCCGTATTGCTTTTAAACTGATTTCGTCCCGCTTTAAAGTCCGTGATATGTTCTCAGCTTATACGACTTGTATGGTAGGAATCGAGCATCTCTTCGGGGAAAATTTTTAAGCCACCCGAAAGTGCTGGACAAAATTTTGGATTTCTTTTATAGTGGTAGTACCCTTGTGTCGAGTGTATGAGAGCTATCTCTACGAGTTGGCTAAGTATGTTTAGGACATTGCGAGTTTGTCGTGATCAGCAACAAACTTATTGATAGATTTTATCGTTTTTGAATCTTCACAAAAAATAGGTGTTTTAAGAAGTTTCGTGCATTTTATAGTTGCGGATGGACTGTTTTTAAGGTGAACATTTGTTTATGATTAAAACGTTTCTTTGAACATTGGTGACATCTCATGATATACCATGATTTTGACCCACTTTTAGTCATGGTGTATTGGTTTTTTTATAACTATTTATTATATTATAAAAGCTTTTAAATATATTTATAGGTTCGGGGGTATTTTTGAAGAAAGTGATGTTTTGGAACATTTTAGAAAGAATTGGAGAAATCACTCGATTTGGGAATCGACCAAGACAACAAGGTTGGCACAGAATGACTCACGTCGATCGATATGCGCTTTGCAGTATCGATCGATGCCAAAAGCGCGAAAGACCAATTCGCGAGACAGCAAACTTAAAAGCTAAGACTTCACCAAATTACAATTATGCCCCTGACGAGTTTTAACCTGAGTTTATATACTTTGCCAAAGTGTTAGAGGCAGAGAAAGATTTCTTGTATTCTTTTTACACAGCAAAAGGTTTTTAGGATTTATAGTTTGGGAGAGAAGATCAACAGAAAGATTTGTGATTGGAACGCCCTTGATTTCTATCTATCTATAATTATGCAGATTTATTATCTTTCTTATGTTATGATTTGCTTAGCCATGTCTAAGTAATTCACTTGTTAGAATTAGGGTTTAAATAGGTTAGTGGATTAGCCCCAACTATAGGATCGCTTGTTGTGGTATTCATTAATAAAATGTTCTTAATGCTTATGTTCTAGACTTGCTAACTAGAAACCTAAATTTAGGAATTTTAGATTGTTTAAGCAACCTTTAGACAACTCTAATTATCCTGAATACATCTTATTAAGCTAGGATTCTTACTAGAGAGAAGGTGGACGCTTGATCTAGGGAGTCCATAGTGAGTATAGATTAACTCTCGTATAACGCTTGACTAGCCGATGTACAAGCATATTGTGGCTAGATTCATGTGTTCGAGTGCATATATAGTATGTATGAGCATAAATTAAAGAGCACATAGAGTTTTTATCGAGGTTTGGTTTACCTACATCTTCGAGACCTAGTCTAGAAACAAATCTACTAGAACAAGTTGTAATTACGATTGATATGGTATTCAACACTACAATGCCTACCATACTTTTCTAGATGGATGAACTATGAAGGTATCATACATGTATGCATTGACTACCATCCAGCAGCACTGGAGCATCAGTGTCTACAAACAGTTGCGATCTTCATAGAACGAGACCACCAAGATCATACAAATCT